TAGCAGCGATGTAGATTGTTGAGCACAGCTCGCCACACGTGCCAAGGCAGCGCACATTCTCGCCCCAACCAGGCCTTTTGGTTGTTTCAGTTGGTGCACCACATTGACGAACTTGATTCGGGTTGAGGCGAGACGAGGCAAGACGAGGCGTGAGCAAGGTGTCCACCTGGCTGGCCTGACCGAAAAGACAAAGACGCCTCGTTCTTGGAGCGACAAATGGCATTCGGTGACCGGTATGTACCACTGATGGCTTGGAGACGAGACACAGAAGCATGCTGGACACTACCTGCCAGATGTATGCCGTGGCATGAACAACAACGCTGTGTCCCAAGCACCACTGCCTCTGTACTGCCCTGAGTCGGTTCAGTGCATCCGAGAGCGAAAGGCGATGCCCGATGAACCCGATCCAGGTAGTCTCACTCTTCTCTGCCGGGAACTTTCCTCAGCTCCTGCCCGCCTGGCACGAGAATGATGACAGACACTCAGTCCAAGGCAGTCGGTCGGGGAGGCGTTCGCAAGGTTCGACACGGGCGGGCGATGAGCCAGGTGACTGACCCAAATACTAGCAACACTCCTACGATCGGCCTCGCCCTCATGTGTGGTTTCGTTGCTCGTTTGTTGGGCGATCTAGTCGTTCGTCATCAAGGTCACCAGACTTGCCCAGCTCGGGTTCATGACGCCCAACGCTGCTCGGCCTCCAGCGGTGAAGAAGGCCAAGTGTAGGACTGCCTGCCTCAGAGGTCACGCCAGCAGAACACCGGGCCAGTGAGGCCATTCCACTGTAACAAACCCACCTGTCGGCCATGACGGCGACCGCGTCCAGCGCCCGTGAGGAAAGAGCGGCGATGCGCTACTGCCACCCCTTCCTGCAGGTCTTGGTAACCCATGCACGGGCCAGGTACCCGCCAGGTACCTCCCTGGCTCCCGGGTACCCTTCCAACCGCTGTCGTCTTGCCGCAGCAGACTGCCAGGGACTGTCAGCAGGGTTGTCCAGACTCGACTCGGACTGGCCCGGATTGGATTGTTTGGCGAGGTGAGCGGGTGTTGGCGGGCTGAAGTGATGTGAGCTGGGCTAGATCTGGCTGGGCTGTTAAGATATGTGAGGTGATCAACGTAGTACTAGTAGACCCCCTCTTTCAAAGAACTCATAGCTCAGAAACATCATGACATTCTTCGTTTTGGCGAGACTCAACTCATGTCAGATCTGGGAGGGAAAGATTCGGGCACAACAACGTGAGTTTAGTATGGTTGCTTGCCAGAGACAACTTGCCTCGTGCAGATTAAATCATCAGGGGGATACGCAATCAAACCAGTGACAGCTCGAGCCCCCCGTCCCATCCACACGTCGGTCCATTTTCTCATCGACCCCTGGCTATTCTTGGGTCCTCACCCTCGCTCGGGAGTGACGAGTGCAGGTTTAGTTGGGTGATGTCAGCGACAACGGGACGGTCAAAGTCAGCTGCTCAAGCCTCTCATCGATGCGCGAGGGGGAGAAACTCGAGCCGGTCATCATTCTGAACCACCGACCGAGTTCCTCATCATCTTCCTCTACACCAAACTTGAAACTTGCTCGCTGTTATTCACGAGATGACTATGAGGACGACATGGGTGCTTTTACCGTCGAGC